AAATTATATACGATAATACTAAGAAGTATTAATACTTCTTACTATTATTAATACCAAGAAATTACTAAGAATAATAATAAATTTATTATTTGTTTTGTCTGAGTTATATCTAAATATACTTAAAACTGAGAAGATATTGCAATTTTGGAGTAAAAAGTTCTCAACGTGCGTGACATAGAGGTTAACCCCTTGTGCTGGCAACTGATTCGCGGACCATAACGAGTGACCAAACCGTATACAATAATTCGTCGCTTCTTTTTTAAACTCGTCGGTATAATATCACTCGATAGAAATTATTACCAAGATTATTATCATTTGCTTTACCTGGGTTATATTTAAATATACTTAAAACTGAGGAAATATTGCAATTTTGGGGGAAAAAATTTACGTCATTCTAACGCAAGAGGTTAAGTTGCTCTCGATTCCTACGTTTGTCCCTCGCGTGACGATTTTTACATCCAATTCTCTGCGATATTATTCCATCTTTCCATCTGTTGAGACGGCAAAAGCTGCGTTTCGGTGAAACTATTCGCAGGAGCCATCAGGGTAATAGGATTTCCAATGTACAACGCGCCTAGGGAATTCTAGAGAAAATGATGTTATCGCTTGGCACGCCGATCAAGGTAGCCGAATTATATGTAACGAGCGAGATGCTTGGTAGCGGTCGCGAGATTACATTTGCGTTAATATATTCCCGATGCTAATGACGAAATAGCAATACCAATCGAATTAATGTGGATTCCATCGGGGCTACAGTGTACGAAGTATTCGCGGTGCGAATCGGCGAACGCGATCGTCACGACGTCGAGGAGGTTAATTGGGATGACCGACGAAATAATCTCGATGGGAATCGACGATACATTCGTTCCCTTCCTCCTGTCGTGATTGAGAACATTACACTAGATGAGAACGCATTATTAAATACAGAGTGGGCCAAAAGTTTCTTCCCATCTATTTTTTTTTTTTTTTTTTTTTTTCAATCAAAACATCAAAATATAAGAAAACACTAATTTTATTAATTTCCAATTAAATTTAAGTTCAAACACGATCTGTTCACACTACGTTTTGAAAATTATTTCTTTCAAATGTTGAAACAAATTGCGGATTTATTTTAGTAGGAAGTGATTTTTAGATACTTTTTTTCGAGTGAAGGCTTCGTAGATTTCATAAATTCGACGTAGAATAAACCACACAGTGTTGTAGATAGAGCCTTTTCTTCGATGTTGACTTATAACAGTTTCTTTTTTCAATTCTTAATTGGTACGGAGGATTAATTATCTAGTGTACAAGAGATTCTTCTATGATGGCTGCCTTGCACCAATGAAATAATCGAAATAAAAATTATTTTCTTGTAGCTCGTTCCCTAGAATATTCACGATTTTATGATTAATTGTTGATGAAGCTTGTTGTGAAACTCAAGATTCTCCTGGCTGCCTTATATCAATGAAATAAAAATTATTATTTCCCACGATTTTATTAGGATTATCGAATGTTGAATCGTTGATGAAATCTTCTCTAGAACTCGATTCTCCGCAGTTTGATCTTAAAAATTCCCGGAGGTTTTTCCACCTCGTATATTCGTTTTGAGACAGCTTCGAGATAGATTTGCACGGCCTAATTGTCACACTGCCGGAGGTGTAATTCGAAATGGGTTAACCTTCGGCGAGCAGCAACCTCTCTCGACTAGGATGTCTAGGTCGACGCGTACAATGACAACCGGAGCTTTCTCCCTGATGACTGACTTTTACTTTTGCCGCGGGCAAAGTATCGAAGATCCGCGTGTGTCGAACGTGAACACGTGATCTATACACACTGTGTTTCTGTAAAATAGTGAGCATCAAGCAAGGTATACACTGATATAAGTACTGTTATCGACGCGAAGTTGGAATTGAAACTGAAAATGACGATAGTTAGCACTGCGGAATTACTTTTCGAAGTGATAAAAAATTGGAAGAGATTTTTAAAAAAATTATAGGAAATTAAGTGATAAAAAAAATTGGAAAAGATTTCGAAAGTTAAGAATCGACTGAGAATTAAAATAAGCAAAGTGATAAAAAATTGGAAGAGATTTTTAAAAATATTATAGAAAATTAAGTGATAAAAAAATTGGAAAAGATTTTTAAAAAAAAATTATAGAAAATTAAGTAGTAAAAAGAATTGGAAAAGATTTCGAAAGTTAAGAATCGACTGAGAATTAAAGTAAGCAAAGTTATCGCTGTGGTGACTGTCTGAAATGGAGAAGATTTTTTTAAACTGAATACAGACTGAAACTTTTCGAAATGAGGGCGAACTGGAAAGTAAAATAAAAAAAATCAGGAAAAATTTCGAAAATTAAGAATCGACTGAAACTTTTCAAAATAACGAGGATAAGCTTTCCAAACGCGAGTAAATTA